ATTCTCTTTGTCATGAAAGGAAAGTTCTTATTTGAGATTCCAAGCAATATGTTTTACATCGTTGGACTAAAGAAGCTATGAAGAAACCAATTTTTGGCTTAAACAACTTGCTTGATGGGCAGAGAAGGATAGAAGCAAAAGCTAGTTGGTGATTTATGGTGCAGGTTTTTTTCATGTGTAAGTCTTTGTAGGAGAAAGTTGAATGCCTAGAGTCATTGTGTCTAAGCTAATATCTTTTGAAAATGAGATGAAAGACTTGGATTCTATAAGTCCAGTTGATAAACGTGAGGCAAAAAAATAAACACATCGAATTATTTGTTGGATCTAATGACATAGTTGATATTCTTCCTCCAAACAAGTCTTCCAACAAAGGTAGTGGTAGTGGAAAAAGGAAAAAATCTGACAAAGAGATAGCTATTGAGGAAAGCCAAAGGAAAGATAGACTTTGTAGAACTTGTGGTCAGAGAACAAACCATGATAGTCGGAATTGTCCGCAAAAAAAATCCAACTTGAATGAGGTATTTTTGTAGAAAAAAATAAATAAATTTTGTACTATGTTTACTTCCCACTAGATTTTCACTTTATATATGTTCGTGTACATGATTTCAGGATTTCAAAGAAGAGTAGAAAGGCTGCAAAACCACTTCATATTTACAAGAAGCAACATCGGCTACTGACAGCCTAGTGCTGAAATAGAGGAGATGAGAGGAAAGAAAGAACATAGTGCTATAGTGCCCTTTTTATTGATATAGTGATTGTTATTGTTTCACATATATTAAACAGGGACCTTTTATTGTTAAAATTTTATTGATAGGGTGACCTTTTATTGTTAAACTTTTTATTGACCTTTATATTGTTATTTTGATGTAGTGACATATTGGCATATGATAACTTCAATTTATATATAGTATGTGTTTTTAACGTCATAGTGACTTTTTTTCATCGTATTGACACCTTATTCCGTGATAACCTTTTTAGTGATATAATGACCTTTATTATGATATAACAACCGTATAAAAAATACTCACATTTTAACAATTCTTCTAATCCACATCGATTAAGCCAATACAAAGTTAGGGAAGGAGGGCTCGTTCTTTTAATTGATATACTAAATGAATAGCTTAAGAATAGATTAATATAAATACGACACTTTTACCTTACATAGTGACCTTTTATTTAAATAGAGACAGATTATTATAGAAATCTTTTTATCACATAGTAACGCTCTTGCATCTCATAGTGATCCTTTTGCATCGCATAGTAATTGGAAATTTTTACCTCATATAATGCCATTTTACTTACATAATGACTATAAAAAGTAATATAATATCCTTTTTCAAGTTTTTTTTTTTTTTAAGAGATAAAAAAAAGTTAGACATTTTTAGGTACATATTTATCATAGGTCCTTTGAAAACTTGTCACATATGTATACAAAATATAATAATGAATATGGTGATAATTTTGCATTATAACTTAATTATATATAACACATTGAACTAATAACATTTTAAATACATAGTGACCTTATAATATAGAAACCTTTTAAATAACATAGATACCTTTTTAAATACATAGTGACCTTATCATATAGAAACCTTTTTAAATAACATAGGTACCATTTTTTTATAACATAGGCGCCAAATTTATAACTAATATATATTTCACTAAACTTCTTGAATGTCAATTAAAGATTACATATCAAAAGAACTACCAATACCACCAATTCAAAAGCTTTGTATGAACTGGAATCATATCATATTGTTCTATATTAACACTTATACAATTTTGTTAGATTATCCATTTGTTGATGCAAACTACATCATTACATTAGATTTCCTACTTCTGTGCAAAATACAAATACTTCCGAGCAAAAAACTTCATCCACATATTCGTTAGTCTGCCTATACTTTCTTTTCCTTTTTACCTTGCTTTGTTTTCTTCTTAATCCCATCAAAAACATCTTTTGCAACTTGACTCCTTATTAATCTGAATTCAGATAGCTTTTCAAGAACTTCATCTCTGACAATGTTCATATCAGATAATACCAGAGTAGCAGCAATCTGAGCTCTCAATGTCCGTCTAGTTGAAACCTAATATATTAATTTAAGCAAAAATTAGAATAAAAAAGCTAGTTAATTCCATGGAGGAAATAGTTAATATATAAAAATTGAAAGCCAAATAAAAAAAATGAGACGAGATAACCGTTTTCAAAACATCGCAGTCGAACACATCAGCTCCATCAAAGTAAAGCATGCTGACCATAGTATAAATGCCACTATCATTATTCTTCTGTTTTCCAGACTTCCAATTTACAGAAGGTGACTCCAAAGTATACTCAATCATGTTCTTCACTGAGTCATTACTTTGAGGAAGGCGTTGATCAAGAAAAGTACTCAGCATATCACTCTAGGCAAAATAAATTAATACTTTAGGTTCCATGAAGCATATCCTAACTAGAAAAATACAAATAAAATCCAAAATATCATATTTTTACCAAAACATCAGAGAACTTCTCAACCTCACTCATGTACTTTGTATCATAACTCATATTATCAATGAACTGAAGCTTTTCTTCCTTCAAATTCACAACAATTAGGAAAAAGTGCTCATTCAAGAGTATAGGAACAAATATCTGCAATAAATAAATAAACAACTATTAAGCTTGAAAAACTTAATATAAAAGTACTTAGTTGAAAAATGATTGTCAACATTTGCAATGTATTACCAACTCAACATTTGCAATATCAAAAATCATTGCAAGGAATGAACAACCATCTTGACCAAATGTAAAATAGCTTGTCAATGTCTTGTGTGTTACTATCTGTGTTTGCAACTTTCAGTAAAAAAGCCTAAAAAAGAACAAACATTAATAAATATTAAAAAAATTAGAAGGTAGAGTTATTTTTCTTAAATGTAATTACTTGCATTACATAGTGACTATTTTCATTGCATAGTGAAATTAATTTATGAATCATAGTGACTGTTTTCAATACATAGTGAAATTAATTTATGAATTTTTTATAATGAACAACTACCATTATAATGATGTAGTAACTAAATAGCCGAAAGATACTTACACTTTGAGAAACACCAAAATATAGTTTTTGAGGTCCATGTGCACTACTCTTCTGGTTTTCATTAAGCAACATAGCCCAACAATCAATAATAACAGAAGATATAGCAATAGCCGGTGCACCTAATGAAAGGAATTCATTCCTTGTAATCTCAAATGGTTTGCCAAAAGATACCAACACCTCACTGTACAAGGAAATAAAAAGACACATGTATATTAACATAGTCACTTATTATTAAAATTTGAAAATAAATAACAAAAAGAACAATGACATGACTTACTTGAGATCGAAACCATGATAATCACTAATGCAGTAGTCAACAAGTTCCTGGACAACTGCATCCAAAACCTTCATATCCTTATTACTTGACTTACTATATTCAGTTACATATGTAACTTTATCACCAAAGAGACTAACATCCATAGCAAGGGAGCATTTAGATTTTCCATTACTCAAAACATGCTCAAAAACCTATCCTTGGAACCTCACCAACTACAAACATTAATCTCTTTTGCAGGTGCACCATTATCATCAATATCATCATCATCCAAACCATTAGGAACTTTGCTTACCCAATTTACAAGAGACACAATCTCATCAACAATTTCATGAACACGAGGATTCATAAAGAATAAATCAGTTTGGGACATTGGAGGTGTCGAAGTTGAAGCATCATTAGATTTACGAGTCTGAAATAACACTTTCAACTCATTCATGTAGAAGTTAGATACCACTTCTAAATCTCTTTTCATGAGCAAAAACTTCTCATAAACTTCCTGTGAAAAAAAAAATGTAGCACTTAGATTTAATAAAATAATTTGTGACAAAAAAAAAAAAAAAAAAAAAAAAAAAAAACCAAACAGACAGACATAATTAAAGGGTAAAATACTTACATCAATAGCAATTGAACGAATTTCCTCATTAGACATTGAACTGGCAGGTAGCTCAAACTGAATAACACCCTTAACATTGCTACGGACACCTTCATAAACAACAGATTCTTTTCCAGAAGTTTGATTCACAGGAGCTTCCTTGAATTGATTACAAACAACTTGTCCATCCTCAAATTGCAACTTCTCACTCACTGGATATGTATCAAACTCAAGAATTCCACACCCAAAACCCTTGGACAACTTTTCATTTCTAATTCTATCTCTTATATCCACATCAGTCCAATGTTGAATTAAAGGTATTGTAGAATTTAACACAACATTCCTAAACCTCAATCGATGAAAATAGATAATCTCTAACATCAAAACACAACCACAAAACCATTCTATATTTCCTTCTTTGTAGCTCTTCACGGCTTCACAAAGTCTATCTAAGACATATTTTGACCAATTATAAATTCTTATTTGATTAACATCAACCAAACATTTTACAATTCTCAAATCCACAGTTCTGTTGGACGTAGGTGCTAAAAAACTTGAAAAAGCATGCATGATAAAAAGCTGTCTGAATTCTTCCCCGCCATCTACTAGTAAAGGGATCTTAGATTCCAAAAAACCCAAAGGAATCTGATCATTCTCACCCATAAGACCAAAATGAGACCTCCATTTAACCTTTAAATCATAATCAGGGTTGATGACATTAGCACAACGAGAAATTTCTTCAACTTTCTTAGATGTTTTGCAAGGAAGGCAAAAAACATCATACACATCAAATTCAGTCACAACAAAATCTTTTTTACCATCAATAGTAAACATGCAGCTACCATGATCAAAACAATCTACTAACCATGATAGCATATCAGTTGCAGTTCGTTTCACCTTCAAAGATAACAAACCTCCAAAGCCAATTTCTTTAACAGCCTTGATTTGATCATCTGAAAAAGTTTTAATCATCTCTACTAAATGAAATGGCCTGCAACGTGTTTTAAATCCTCGTTGCACCCTGTAACAAGACATACGAAAAGATAAACAAAAGAAACCAAAATAGTAGCCTCTTTTTATAGCATAGTGACCTTTTTTTTAAACAAAACTTCAAAAAAAAGAAACAAATATTCACTTACATATGTACATCACTATCTATGATTGCAGATTCTTGCCTATGAATCACAATGTTCTTATCCTTATTTTCCTTCACTTTCTTCACTTTAAGACCTTCATTTTCATCCAACTTTCTCTTCTTAGCTGGCAAAACAATAGCATGTGAAGAAGAAGACTCATTCCCCTTCTTTCCTTCCATCACAGTTGACAAAGGTATAGCATTCTCAATGTTAGAAGGTTTCTTTTTCTTAGTGATAGCTTTCTTTTTCAATCCTTTTTCAATACAAGCATCTTTATCTCTGTTAGTATCATCATCGATCATTTTGCTTCCACCATCAATATGCTCTTCATCTTCATGATCGAGATTGATACATGCTAAAAACACGCAAGCATATAGTTATATATACAATTATCTTCATTTTCATCTAGCAAACAATTATAATATAGCAAACTAATAACTTAAAAATAATAATCATTGTCATTGATATAGTGACCTTTTTCAGTTATATAGGGAACTAATAATATAGTAACTTTTATATTAATAGGGACCTACATTCTATAGTATTAGGAGACTATCATAATAGAGCAACTAGTATATTAAGGTTAATAATCCAAAAATCAAAACATTCATCATACCTCCTGTATCTTTCAATTTAACTCCTCCTGTTGAGCTACGAAGGCCTCTCCTTTTTTTAAAAGTAGCACCACCTCTAGTTCTCACCATAGGAATAAAATCTAATCCAAATCGAATGAAAATCCTTGTTGCACCCTGTAACAAGACATACGAAAAGATAAACAAAAGAAACCAAAGTAGTTGCCTCTTTTTATGGCATAGTGACCTTTTTTTAAAACAAAACTTCAAAAATAACATAGTCCAACACCCCTCCAAAAAGATTCAGTTTATTTTGATTTGGTTTTAGAACAAGTTCAGGTCATATTCATATTTATGTCTTTTGACAACCAATTTGTTTACGAATAAAAAAATCAATTCAGGTCAGGTCAGGGCAGTGAAAATCAGATCAAACTAAGGTATCCAAATCCTCGAATTCTGGCTACCTTGATTCAAGTTCAAAACAGGCCTAATTCAGAAATTTTGAAGCAAAATCCAGTACAGAGTCAAATTAACCATGCACATATGTCAGACTAGAAGTACACTTTTCAACAGTCAAGAAAGTCATGTAGATGTCGATTTAGCATGATCAGAAGCAATCTATCACAAATCCACCCCAGATGTCTGTAGCTCCTGGGTTAGTCGCTTAAGCAGTCTGCTCAACACCAAAAAATCGGACATATAGAATCAAAGTCAGTATCTTAAACCAGGAAGAATTCTTCATACTTTATGTTCTTTCTTTCTTTCTTTCTTTCTACGGTTGATGTGGAAAGAGTCTTTGCATCAATATCACAAACACCAGAAAATTTATCTAAGTGCAAAAGGCAAATAATTCATGTAGGAACCTAAGGACATTTGATGCAGCTGAAACCACTTCAAATCACAAATAAGAAAAGACAGGTTGTAAGAGAGAAACACAACAGCATCAAAGAACACCAATGCAACCAAGGCAGTTAGTCCATCTCCAAACATGTCACCATGTTGGTCAGGTCTCAATTCCAGATCATCATTAGCAAGAGATTGATTACCATTCCTGTTGCCTACACCAAACGGAACACGGGAAAATACAAATCGAGTTGGACACCAAGTGGAAGCAGGAACGAGTGTAGCTAATTTATGTCTCCAAACTCTCACTAATTCACTCACAAATCCACTAAAAACACTTCAAATTACTCAAAATTCGAATTAACTACTCCAAACTCTCACTAATTCACTCACAAATCCACTAAAAACATTTCAAATTACTCAAAATTCGAATTAACTACTCCAAACTCTCCCGAATTCACTCACAAATCCACTAAAAACACTTCAAATTACTCAAAATTCGAATTAACTACTCCAAACTCTCCCGAATTCACTCACAAATCCACTAAAAACACTTCAAATTACTCAAAATTCGAATTAACTACTCCAAACACAAACACACACACACAATTCGCATTTTAGCTATTCGCATTCCTAACAGGCATTAATTCGAAATCAAAATCCACAAAAATCAGCTAAACTCGAAATCAACAAAAACAAAATTATGCTCAACAAAAATCGTGTTACTAAGAAGATGAAGAACAACAACAAAACCAGAATTTCGAGCAAAAATACACATAAAAACCTAGTTTACTTAAATTAAGAAAAATTAAACAAAATACATTTAAAAAATACTTCTACTAAAACGAAACTTAAGTTGAAATTCAAAAAATCAAATCAAATCGAAAAAAATAAAATAAAAAACTTGCAAAATTACAAAATTAAACAAAAATCATACACGAAAAACATAATAGACATTAAATTTTCGGTTGAATCTACAAAAAAGTACTCATGAAATTCCAGCAAACAAAATTTCAGAAACCTAATAACCTCAAATCGTGCAAAAATAGCGAAATTACCACAAAGAACTCACCTGATAATAGATCGTAGAGCTGAGAAATTGCTAAAAATCAAAGTAATTGAAGCGGTGTTGCTGAAGGAGTTCGCTGATGGTAATTGAAGCGGTGTTGCTGAAGGAGTTCGCTAATGTCGAGAAATTAGGAGAGAGAAAGTGAAGAGAGAAGGAAGAGGAGGAAGAAAATAACAGAGGAAAGAGAAAGTGTTTTCGCGGGAGGAGAGAGAAAATTAGGATATATATACATTAAATATCATCCGCTAGATTATAATCTACGGCTGGGATTAATTGTTTTCATGTTTTCACCCTAAGACTTGTTTTTACATGATCCTAATCCTATATATATATATATATATATATATATATATATATATATATATATATATATATATATATATATAATTTTTGGATTGAAATTAATTATGAACAAGATTTGGAAAAATTATTTATACTTTCACAAGTAATCAATAATTGATAGTGACTCACCAAGTCGGAAATCCTGGATCCGTCACTGTTTACTTGTAGTCTTAGTTAAAGGGGATCCAATTTGACCAGTTTTTCACCAATATGCAAGAAAAAAAAAGTCATATGAGGCCAGTTCTTATTGAAATCGTTCAACATGTAGTTTTCAAAAATTAGCATTCAATGATTTTTGATAATATGAAACTCAAAATATTGATGATAAAATAAGCCATAAAAAATGTGAAATAGCAAATGGCTATATTAAAAGAAATAAATAAAAATATTAGTTTCTTTTTTTTTTTTTTGGGTGAACAAAATCTAATTGAGTTAAGGGTTTAGTGGAGTAAGACTGCAGCCAAAAGTAAATAAAATAAAATATAATAAAAATTTGCAATCCAGCGTTTAATTTCCTTTGGACAAGGGCAAACTTGCCATTTGCAAAGTTGCAATTCCTTCGACATAAGGTCTTCTAGTATTTCTTCTTTTTTTTTAATGGAAAAAATATAAAAAAAAATAATCAAACCGTATTACCGACTAATTTTTTGGAGTTTGGAAGATGATACAATCATGCAAACATTTTTAAATTACTTCGTATATTATTTATTTATATATAATTATTATTGTATAAGATAAACTTTGAATCCTTAACTTGCTTCAATAATACAGCAGTAATCCAAAAACATTTAATTAGTTAACCTGCATACTCAAATAATCATTAAATATCAACATTTAACTTTACATTTGCATGTTCTAAGATAAGGAAGCATGTAGCTCCTTCCAAAAAAAATTAATATGTAGAGGGATAGAAAAAAAAATGACACAAAGTTAAAGACTTGAGATTGAATTTCACCAGTGTATAAAAAAAAAACGATTTTCCTCATTACTTCTCCGTTACAATATAATTGTCCTCCTTTGATCCACCAACAACCTTCTCTTTTGCTTCTTCTACAAGAGAAATTGTACCTTGGTAATTAGGGATACGAAGACAATGATCACCACCAACGAGACTAAACACAATGATGAGCTCATCAAGCTGCTCAATGCTCGTAGTTAGGGGTGTACAAAAACTGGACCGGACCTGAAACCGGACCTGAACCGACCTGATCCGGACCGGACCTGACCCGGGCCTGTTGATTCAGGTCCGGTCCCGGTCCTTAAAAATCAAGGTTCCCGGTTCCGGTCCGGACCCGGTCTAAACCCGGGGTTTTTAGGTCCGGACCTGAAACCCGGAAAAATTGTATTTTTTTTAAAAAAAAAAAATAAAATTCAAAAATCAAAATAACGCTGCAAGCTGCTTGAGTGACGCTTCATTTCTCTTTCATTTAATTCTAACCCTAACAAACAGCTATATGACTATCTCCATTCTCCAAGACTCCAATCTCCAAACTCCCTGGCTGTCTCCCCCTCTCCCTCACGCTCACTGTCTCCAGTCTCAGCCCAACGCGGCAACGCCCACCGCCGACACCTCCTGCCTTCCTCACTCTCTCAGGCGAAGCCCAGGCGCCCACCGGCCACCGCATGAGACAGCTACTGCGCGATTTTCCATTTCTCCGGTAAGTTATTTTTTTTTTTTTAATGTAAATCTAAATTATCTAATTATGTTTGGGTATTTTGTATTCGAAATAATGAATTAAGTGTTAGAATTTATATGTTTATTCATGTTTCAATTGCTTATAATGATTATTTGATGTTTGCATGTTGAATTTCTTTTTTTTACTTCAATGTTTTCGAATTTATGTTTTTCTTTTTTGGTTTATTTTCGAATTTCTTTCGAATTTATGTTTTTTTTTTTGGTTTTTTTTAGTTTAAAGTTTAGGGTTTTAGGGTTTAATGTTTAGAATTGATAACAAGTATGGTTTATCTTCAAATTTATGTTTTTTTTTTTTGGTTTTTTTTTAGTTTAGGGTTTAGGTTTTAGAATTGATCACACTATCACAGATTCACAGCCTTTGAATCTCTGTTAGGCCAAATTTAAATAAATAAATAAATAAACGTAGTGCATGATTTGTAAGAGACTCAGATGATTAAATAAGTTGGCTAACTTGTATCAAAATTGATAGGACATGGTTGTATGCGTTCGGAATTCAGATTTGAGTTGGCTAACTTGTTTAGAATTGATAAGATCATAAGACATAGTTGTATACTTGTATGCAGTTCAGGGGTTCTTATTCTTGTTCTTATTCTTGCAGACTTGCCTAGGGCTAACAAGGGAGTGGAGGAACCACGGATTCTTATTCTTGCAATGTAAGTTGCTCTTAAATTTTTTTATAAAATGGTATGTGTATATAATTGTTACTTTAAAATTACTTATATTGTCTAGAATTATATTGTAGATGGAGAGCTCTCAATCCAAACGGTCTGCTTCTTTTTCTGAACAAACGTTACAGCCACTTTCTGAAAAGGATATGGAAGAATTGCAATCTACTTTGCCTCCTGATAAGAAGCTAAAAGCAGGGCGGGAGTATATATGGAACAGAAAAAGTAAGAGGAAAGCTGAGTATTGGAAATATTACTTAGAGTACGTCGAGAATGGAAAACTACGAGCTGAATGTAAGTTTTGTCCTAAAACTTTTGCTGCTGATGGTAATCTTAATGGTTCCAAAAATGTTAAAAATCATGCAGAATCATGTCTCGGTAATCCTATTAATATAGAAAAAGAAAAGCAAACTAAATTGTATTTTGATCAAGAACATGAGAGTGGTTAAAGTGTGGGAGTAGGATTATTAACTTGAATGATGTTAGAGAGGCATTGGTTCACATGATTATTGTTGATGAGTTACCATTTAAGCATGTGGAAAAACCCAGTTTTAGGCACTTTGTGCAAGTTGCATGTCCACAATTTCACATTCCATCTCGTGTTACCATTGCTCGTGATTGTTTAAAGTTGTATTATAGTGAAAAAGAGAAATTGAGAGAAATGTTTGAGACATGTCAAAGAATTTATGTGACCACTGATACTTGGACTTCAATACAAAGAATTAATTATATGTGTCTTACAGCTCATTTCATTGATAATGACTGGAAATTAAATAAAAAGATCATAAATTTTTGTCCAATTTCTAGTCATAAAGGAGAGGCTATTGGAAAAGCAGTTGAGGCATGTTTAGAGTATTGGGGTATTGATGATAAACTTTTTACTGTCACTGTTGATAATGCTTCTTCAAATGATGTTGCTTGTGCACACTTGAGTAGAATGGTTAGAAGAACAGAATGTATTAATGATGGAAAAAATCTTCATGTTAGATGCATTGCTCATATCATTAATTTAATTGTGTGGGATGGTATTAAAGAACATGGTGTGTGCATTGATAGAGTTAGAAATGCTGTGAAATATGTTAAGAACTCCCCTGCAAGAATACTTAGATTCAAAGATCTTGTGCAAAAAGCAAACATAGATTCAAAATCTTCTTTATCCTTTGATGTCCCCACTCGTTGGAACTCCACATACATAATGTTGGAAACGGCTTTGAAGTTTCGACGTGTTTTTAGTGGGTTATCTCTTCCTGATGGAGAGGATTTGAATGACAATGAAAGGCCTCCCGAACCCGAAGATTGGGAAAAATTGGAGAGGTTAGTTTTGTTTCTAGAGGGGTTTTATCTGTTGACTAAACGAATTTCTGGTTCCCATTATGTGACAGCTAATAAAGGTTTAGGAGAAATTGCTTCTATGTATGATATGTTGAATAATTGGGAACAAAGTGAGGACTTGAATTTTCAAGCTATGGCCATTGCAATGAAAAAAAAAGTTTGATAAGTATTGGGGGGATGTGGATAAGATGAATAAATTCATTTATGTTGCTCTTCTTCTCGACCCTCACTCTAAGATGGTCATTGTTGAATTGACACTAACGGACATGCATGGACCGGAAAAGGGTACAAAACTTGCTAATGATGTGAAGGAGTTCGCTTACTCTTTATTTGAGGAATATAGAAAAATGTATGCTACTTCTAATATTCCAGATTGTGGAGATAATATGTCAATGGATATTGATAATAGTAAAGGAGTGGGTTCCGATTATGTGAGGAAACTAAAAGAAAGAGCAAAACGATTGAAGGGGACAAGTGGGTATGCGATAAGTGAGTTGGATAGGTACTTAAATGATCAATTAGGGCCGGAGGAGGAAGAACAAGATGCATTGACATGGTGGGGTAAGAATGGTCAGCGTTATGTGATTCTTAATCGCATGGCACGTGACATACTAGCCATCCCATTATCGACCGTTGCATCGGAATCTGCTTTTAGTACGGGAGGTCGTACTCTAGATCCATTTCGAAGTTCTTTAACTCCTAAGGTAATGCATCGTTATCTTTTTATTTTATAAAATCAAGTTTGTTTATATCTTAATATGACTTTGTTTATACATATTTGTGTAATATTTTTGTATTGAAGATGGTTCAAGCGCTACTTTGCACACAAGATTGGCTTAGAGCTAAGGAAGTGCCAATTGTTGATGTGGAAGAAAATTTGAAAGAGTTAGAGGAAATAGAGAAAGGTAGTAATAATTTTATGTACTTGAAATTTTGTTACACCAAATTTATTATTTCATTGTTATCAATCATTAATATATTCTAACATATTCTATATTGTATTTTATTTAGAGGTGCAACGTGGTGAATCTAATGATGTAGACGATGAAGTTGTTTTCGTGGACTCATTAGTGTGAATCACGCGATCAAAGGGAAAACAACTCGTTGGAGAATTTATGTATTTCTAGTACTTGAGACTTAAGAGAATTTATGTAATGTTATGAGTTTTCGTGGACTCATTTGTACTTTCGGTGGACTCATTTGTATTTTTGGTGTTTGAGAATTGGAACTTTATACTTTTATAGACTTTATGTAGTTTTGTACTTTTGTGATTAATAATTTTGG